TATACTGATATGTAGGCTATAATATGTAATATAGTAATATCCATATATTAAAAACAGACAAAGATTAATTGACGTATCAGTGTCATTCACTAAATGAAAGATTTAATGCATTTATTTAAGAATCTTAATTCTGATNTAATACCAAACGCAAAACGGTAATACCAATACCAACGCTGATTCAATACCAACGCTGAAAACAGCAGTAAAGTTAGACTAATGTAAACAACAACAAAAACAACAACTAAAATACGCAGTGTGACCAAAAAGCAACTTACGCAATCCAAAAAAGCGGTTTCTCTGAGCGAGCCATCAGCTTAGCGATCTGACTGTTTTTCCACGCACTTTTCCTGGCGCATTTAACAACTCTACAAATGTAAAATCCGCCACAGACTGAAGCAATACACAGTAAATACACGGTCCACTCCGGAAGCGCCATTACAGTAGGCGGGCGGCGATGACGCGATTAAGGAAACAATTACGATTGGCCAGAAGTGACAGTCACCGTAAAGACTCGTATTTTACTTTTTCACGCATTTATTTTTTTATTATATGCAAGTATATTGTTGATTTTAGCACACATCCTATTGCATGTGGGGATCCTCAAAACAACTACATAAAAATATATACTATTGGAAGAAATTTAATCGGACCTTTATATAATAAAACAAATATTAACATTTAATCATTCAGCTACTAACACATCCATTCAATCCAGATAAAGCGAGTACGTTTACATGGACATCGATAATCTGATTTTAATACAAATAAGTCAATACTCTGATCAAAAGTCTAAACAGCTATTTTTGATTAATTTAATCAGATTAAAGTCATAATCAAACTAAACAGAAAAGGGATTAAGACATGTGGAGAATAACGATTTTAGTGGCATTATTGAAGTGCAGTACACACATGTAAACACCTTAATATTACCATCGTGTAAGACTTTTGCCGCATTTAGTGACATGATATTCCACACACGCGGCTGTTTGACACTATTCTCTGCACCTATTGAAACAGTAAAGGACCACAGACACATACACCGTGAAATGCAGAGTGTTTTTTTTCTCTCATTCGGCAACTCTCATTCAGCATTGCATCCAATACCTCAGTGTATCACATGGTCATGCATGAAATGTTCCTAAATGAAAGTGAGCGTAGAGCAGCACAGTGGGTAGTGCAATCGCCTCACAGCAAGAAGGTCACTGGTTCGAGCCCTGGCTGGGTAAGTTGGCTTTTGTGTGTGGAGTTTGCATGTTCTCCCAGTGTTTGCATGAGTATCCTCCGGGTGCTTTGGTTTCCCCCACAAGTCCAAAGACATGTGGCATTGGTGAATTGGGTAAGCTAGATTGTCCATAGTGTATGAGTGTGAATGAGTGTGTATGGATGTTTCCCAGTGATGGGTTGCAGCTGGAAGGGCATCCGCTGCGCAAAACATGTGCTGCATAAGTTGGTGGTTCATTCCGCTGTGGTGGCCCCCAGATTAATAAAGGGACTAAGCCAAAAAGAAAATAAATGTATGAAAGTGCCAACTCGCAGTTAAAGCCGAAAAATAAAAAATAAAGCACCCAAAATTACATAAAACTCTGAAGGAAATGTGGATAGTGTGGTGACGCCATGACATTAATCAAATTACGTGCTATAACATGTAAAAAGGGACTATAAAAGGAACATTCAAAAAGGAACTCATTTAAACACCTTAATCATATTATTGTCTTAATCAGATTAATGCAAATAATTTGAATACTGATGTCCATGTAAACATAGTCATTGAGAAAGTGGTCTCTTAATTTTGTCCAAAAGCTGTGTCCAATATAAAAATAGAGCTATTTTATACACAAATTCAATACAACAAATATTTTTATGTTGCTTTAACTTATTTTAATAAGCTAATCAGGTTATACAAGTAATACAAAGTTGAACTTAATATTTTTAGTCTGTTTGATTGATGTAAGTTGAGATAACTAGAAAAGTTTGAACCAACTAAAAAAAATGAAGGCAGCAATAATACATCAATCGTACATCAATACATTAATAGTTAAACACACTATAGTTGTTGGAGGCTGGAGTAAGGTTGTGGAGACTGACCTCATCAATGTTTCTGAGCCATTTGCTGATGTTTTCGAAGCTCTTTGCATTGGTGATGTCATATACGAGCATGATTCCCATTGCCCCTCTGTAGTAAGAGGTAGTGATGGTGTGAAACCGTTCCTGCCCCGCTGTATCCCTGCACAAACACAACCACAATCAAACACTCAAGTCCAACCAAATGAATCACAGAACACAAAGCATCATAATTTAACTTCTGTAAACAACAGCGGCTGACCAAAGATGAACAGTCATTAACGTCCCAATTAGGGTTGTAACGGTATGAATTTTTCACGGTATGATAATCGTCTAAAACAATACCACGGTTTGACGGTTTCGCGGTATACGGTATGTTACAAATGTTACAAAATAATAGAACAGTGAAGCAAATTTGACTTTTTCCAAATAATATATTTTTAGTTACTATAAACAACACCACTTACAATGAACAAATAAAAATAAGAAAATAATAAATAATGTGTCAAAGTCCAAAGTCCAAAATAAACATGGTGCAAATCCTCAGTAAAAAATAGATATAAATATTTACTATACTATAAATAGTTACATAACGAAACTAGATTCAATATGGAACATCCTTAGGTTTTATGTGCCAGCATGGATATGGTTGTCTATGGATTTGGATATGGTTGTCTGCAATGCAGACAAACAGCTGCATCTTCATTTGCGTCTTTTGAAAACAGCAAGAGCAGCAGTTCGTCTTTGCTGTGTCACTGTTTTGTCATGTTTCTGTGCTGCTGTGCATGCAAAAGTACTTAGTATGAGAATTATTTCATGCAAAACTTTTTTTTTTTTGCGTTTTATTTAGCCGCGCATAAATGTATGCCTTTCTCTCATTCCGTGTTGTTCAAAAAGCTTGGTCCACAAACAAAAGCGAAACCTATGATTATTGGTTGTGATATAGCGAGTTTGAACCAATCTGGGCATGGAGGAGGGACAATGCATCAATGTATCATGTCTGATTTGTCCGGAGACACAGTGACGAGCGTTTCTTTGTCAAATCAGCGTTGTCAAATGTTGATGACGTAACCGCACTGATTCCGGAGCCTCTGAAAGTCTGTTATGTGATACAGCACTGGAAAGCTGAGATTCTCTTCTTTATGCCAATCTTTGAATTGTGTGAATCGGATCAGCGGATCAAAAGTTATTAAACATTTAAGAGCAATACTTATTTTTAGCCGCGGGCGGCTGTCTCTGTCTTTAAGGGTTAAAACCGTTGATATGCAATTGTTCATGGTATGATAATCGTACACGTTCAAATCGTGGTAAACCGTCATACCGGTATATTGTTACAACCCTAGTCCCAATGGACTTTGTTCACATTTCCAGGTTTCTCAGTAGCAGAAGTCCTCATAGTTGGGTAAACTTAGAGAGTACAACAAATGATTTTTTATAATCCCATTTGCTGAAATAATACAAGAAAAACTCCATGATGGTGTTATCAAGACTTTCAGAAAAAGGAAAACAATAGTGTGAGACTGATAAGGGCAGCCAGAAGAGAGAACACTGTCAAATTTAATGTCCTGTCCCTATAGACGCTGCATTAGAAACATCTGCATTGAAACTAGGGATGCTCATTTCGGTTAATTTTGCTAACCGACAACCGCTGCTCATTAATTGGTTATTAACGGTTAACTGGTCAGATTACTATTAATTTTATATTAAACAAATTAACGTGTCTATTTTGTGACCGACACATTAAATATTGCATTTTAAAATACTGACTTATTTTTATATGCTAGCATATTAATAATAGAACAATACAACAGAGCATTTTCACGCACATTCAGTGTTTAGCACAGAAGAACACTGACTGATTATTTTTAATAACCGGCAAAGGCTGTTTTTTTTCCAATCATATTTTTGTCTTCCGTCAAATAAAATAGCAGACTTCCTCAAATTGCCCGCTCCACGGAAAATATGCATTTATTTAATGCCCCGCTTGTATTATTATAATCACGAAATCTTTTTATATTTTTAATAGAAATCATTATTTTAAAGATTATGTCTTGCTATATGGTTTCCTCTCTCTCCATCGCGGCTCAAGTGCGCGCGCTGCGTGATGAAAAGACAACAACACGCGCGCATATGTTGACTTTTTGTAAACAGTTTTGTTGTTTAAATATGATCTTGCATTAATGTGCATACATGCTTTATAAGCTGTAAAATAGAAGGTAAAGCCTATTTGTTGCGTTTATGATGCAGATTCAGGTCAACATCAGCACTTTTTTTGGCATCAACACGTCTGTTTCAAACAGCAATATTCTTCTTCCATTTTGCTTCTTTGGCAAATGTGTCTGTAGGCATGGGCTATACGTTATCGTCCCGCAAAGTTAAATATGTCTTGCAGTAAAACAAGTGGCCGACCACAGCTAACGTGCTTTTTTCATTCCAAAATGCGAGGCGCACCTCACTGCCTTTATGTTGACAAGGAAAAAGGAAGAAAAGAAGCGCGGCCCTCTTATGAAACGACTGAATCAGCTGGGTATCGATTGTGCAAATGTGTTGCTGTATATGTTGTTAAAATTGTAATATTTAATAATATTGTGATATCCAGGATTTGTAAATTCATACAGCTCTGGATAACTTAAAACATTGATTAGACCTTCAGAGCGGCATTAATGCGTCCTGAAGTAAAGCGAAGCGGCTATAAACTCCAGCAAGATAGAGTGATTATATGCAGAGTCATACTTTATCTATAAATAAAGTAAAACTATAGAAACTGTGTTCATCTTAACTGAAAGCTTCTGCGTGTTTGCTGGCCTCACGCATCGCGCACCTGTCAGTCAGTCAGTCAGTCAGCACGTAGCCCCAAAGTATTAAACAGATAGCGCACAGCACTATACGGTTACAAAAGAGTTTGCGCTGTTATAATCCCCTTAACTTTTAATACGTTTTGATGCAATTAGAATCCGCTATTAAAAACATCAACAACAATAACTGAATGTTTTGAATGGGTAATGTAGCCGTGGTGGGATGCATTTTGGTCCCCGCCATGGAAGAATGAATGTAGCGGAAACCATGCTCTTTAAAAGTTCTCTGTAGTTGCCTTGACAACACAAACTGCTGCTCTGGGATGAGCCGCGTGCAAAAGATGCCCCTCTTAACGCAAAGGCGCATTCAATCGGCCCCTTATGCAACCAAACTAAAAATATATAAAATAATAATTTTAATCGTTTAACTGATAGTATTAATCGGTTACAAACACACCCTTTCGGTTAACGGTTAATCGATTATTTTGAGCATCTCTAATTGAAACATTAGAAAATTTGTTCTGTTTTTGTAAGTTGATGCAAAGATGATATAATACATTCATAAATACATCAAAAAAAGTACAAAAGGTTTTTTTTATTAGAATATTGTCCTGTGACAAGTCTATGTGTCCATAGACAAAGAAATGGTATGATGTACAAAATCAGGCTAAAACTAAATTTGTAAGACGCTCAAAGTATCTTTCCAGAATTGTTTGCTTTGACTGCCATATAAACTTCCATTGGTCCACAGGAAATACATAATCGATAGGTGTGGCTATGATTTTAGGTGTGGCTACGTTTTTAGACACTATCAATAAATCAGTTCCTCTGTTCATTCGTCAAGGTCAGATGTGTGTGACCAAAAAAAAAAAAAAACGCAATGGAGTTGCCTTATTTAATAAACTGACCTGTAATTCTAAGTGAAAACAACACCTGGACTGTTAATTGATGTGCAGTACTGTGTAATACTGTGGAAAAAACACTGGAGGCTTTAATGGGGAACAAATTTTGGACAAAAAAATTGTAAAAATGTCAAAACGAATATTTAGGTTCTTTTCCTTTTATATTTGCAAAGAACTGTGTCCTAAATCTACCGTCACAATGACTCCTACATTTCTGTACCACCCAACTTTCAGCCATTTTACTAGGAAGAATAATAAAAAGATAAATTTTCTTTTGCTGTCGTCACTTCAAAAACGGCAACACATTCCTGGCCACAAGCCAAAAATATGAGGAACATCATTTTCCCAGTAGATGCTGACATTTTTTGGATGATAACTTTGAAAACAAGCTTTGTTTTTTTTTTTTTTTGCTTTTTTTCTGGAGAAAGTCTGATTTGTTTTATTGTGGCCAGAATAAAAGCAGATTTAAATATTTAGAAACTTGTTTTAAGGTCAATATTATTGGCCCCCTTAAACAATATATATTTTGATTGTCTGCAGAAGAAACTGTTATACAATGACTTGCCTAATTACCCTAATTAAGCCTTTGAATCACACTTTGAATCTGAATACTAGTATCTTGAAAAATATCTAGTAAAATATAATGTGCAGTCATCATAGCAAAGATAAAAGAAATCAGTTATTAGAAATGAGTTATTAAAACTATTATGTTTAGAAATGTGTTGAAAAAAATCTTCTTTCCATTAAACAGAAATTGGGGGGAAAGGGCGACTTTTAGAAGGGCTAATAATTCTGGCTTCAACTGTATATGTACAGTTATTTTCTTCCATGCAAATAAAAGGGAAATAAATACAATAAAATAAAAATATAAAACAAATTGTGCTTTAAGCATCTTCACTGTAATAAAAACACTTTAGCTACAAAAATCCTTCAGTCAAGAGCAGTGAGGGATTTTCTCCTTATGTCGTTTGATTAATGATAAAAACAGGCGGCAGCTATTGTGCGCGGTCACTTTAATGGTTTCTCTTTCACATGTCTTTGAATTCTCAACTCGTATGTTTATTACACAAATAAGGGTTAATATGAATAATCACTAAACACCATGTTTTAACACCTATTTGACCATTAAAGCAATCACATTAAGATAACTTTAGATGCGTGTGCTCTGCTCGAGCGCACAGTGTGTAAATGAAAAGGAATGCTGACCGGCCGCATGCTGTTTGTGTGCGTTCGCGTTTTTTTTTTATTGCATCTTTTTATTAATATTTTAACTATTAATCACAAAACTCATTGAAACGCACCAACAGACAATGCCCATTTTAACAATGCAAAGCTAAAGAAAAAAATTCATTAATTAATAAACAGAATACGTACATAAATCAATAATAAATATACAATAAATAAATAATAGCATAATAGCAATGATAAAAATAAGAAAATATATAAACAAACAAAATAATAAAATTTAAGGATAAAATAATAATGAAATAAAATACATAAATTCAATTATGACATACCATAAATTAAAATGCAGCTTAAAGAAACATCAATAAGGTCTATGAAAAGCAGTCCAGACTTGATGAAAAGCCTCAGTGGACATATGAATGACACAGGTAGGAAATTCTAAGGGAATCATTTTCCTAATATTATTTTGCCACCCTTTCAAGGATGGGGGTTTGTCACTGACCCAGATTATCTGTATATTTTTCCTGGCAGCGAAGGCTAAAATGTCAAATAAATGATTAGTGAATTTGTCAGGCTAACGTCCAACCGGGAGACCTAACATTAAAGATAGTGGATCCAACCGTCTCATTCGCGCTTTTAAAAACATAAATGATTGGAATGTACATCAATAAATGGTGCGCATCCCGTGCTGCAAACATTACATTACAGCACATGCTTTCAGTCAATTTTAACGTGAAACTGAGCTTTGCAGAGCAACAAATGTGTACAACTGGAAAAGGGGGCGGTATATGATGCAATAATCATTTATCTTGATTAATGGTTTTTCATAATCGTTAGAAGCTGAAATCAAAATTGAAACCGGATTTTCGATTAATTGCACAGCCCTAGTGGTAATATTGTATTGCGTGTTTAAAATACTACACAATTTAAATACATTTAATTTAAGGTTGCACACCAGCGAAAAATAGTGACAATGCAAGATGTTTTTCAGCGACTTTAAATAAACCCATTAAAATGACTTACTCTAAAATAACTCTATTTGTAAAGAGTGATTCATTTTAGACAAAAGTTGGTTATAACTTGGTGAAAGCAAAATAATACTACATTATTCTGCAAGCCCCAAGATAAATAATTAACAAGCTGTAAACAAACCAAAGAGGCATTTTACAAGTACTGCATTCCTACTTCAAAATTTCACATTTGGTTCAGTGTGTTACTTGCTGTTGCTGTTGCTTTCAAAGTAAACTATACAAGAAATTCATTAACATTATTGTACTGTAAAACACAAAAAGCAAATACTTAAATTTATTTTAGAATTTCTGCAATCGAGCTTTTATTTCAATTTTGCTGCAAGCTTTCAAGCGCTGCAGGTAAATATAAAAAGAAAATGACTAATGCCAATCTTTAATCTGAAACCCGTAGGGTATACAAATCATTAAACTGCTGTCGGCATGATTTGTCAATTCCGATATTGTTTTTATTTTGATAGATTGCATTCAATATATAAATGTACTAATGATTTGCAAGAACTGAATGAAATGACATGAGTAAAAATAATACATTTAAAAATCTAAAATAAAATATAACAGTTTGTGTTCAATGTGCTTTCTGAATATAAAACCTGTGCAAAAAACAAGCGCAGTACTTACCATATCTGTAGCTTTATCTTCTTTCCTTGCAATTCAACTGTTTTGATCTTAAAATCGATTCCTAAAAAGACAAAATAGAAAAAAGTAATTGAAAAAATTGCATTCACAACCCATTGCACTTCTGTAATCATAGCTGAAACAGAATATTTACTGAAAAAAGTAGGATAAAGCCTGGTTTATACTTCTGCGTCAAGTGACCGGCGTAACCCACAGCGTATGCAACGCCCATAGCTGTGCATTTATACTTCTGCGCGCTGTTTCTGTTGGTCTGCATTAACACTCCCGAAACGCTAGTGGGCAGTGAGGTGTTAATGTTCCTCTGTGTTGAGTTTCTTCGCTGCTGTTTTGCTTTTCCTAAACACTTACTGAATGTACAAGTGGCTCAAATTTGTTCATTTTGAGGCAGGAACCGGCGGACGTGCAACAACTTTAACTATGAGGTAAACACAAAACAAAACTTACAATCTGGAGCTCCTTCACGGGACTCTACACTTGTAAACAATTGTTTCATTGGGCTAGCACTGCTCGCGCGGCTCTCGGTCCCGCCCAGACTCATCAGCGCTACCAAGCCGACCAATCACAGAGCTTGCGCTACGCGTTGTTGCGACGTGTAGTTAAATTTTTTGAGAGGTGCACGTCAGTGACGCCGACAGCCACGGCGAAGGGCTATGCGTCAACGCCGTAGCATACGCCAACGTTTGACGCAGAAGTATAAATCAGCCTTAAAGCCTTTTTTATACTTCTGCGTAGAGTGATCGGCGTGACCCATGGCGCATATAATGCGTGTAGCCGTGCATTTATTTCTGTGTTGCTCTTATGGGCCGGTATAAGTTTGTGACGGTATGATAACCTTGGATAAAAATATCACGATTGCATGTTTACTGCTCTAAAATAAGTTCTTTTTGAATGTCTTGGTAAAAAAAACAAAAAAAAAACACATTTTTTAATATATTTTTTTAAATTTACAATTCACATTTATAATATTTTGGAACAGTAAAGATGTCAGGCTAAATAATTAAAATAAATTATTAACTTCAGCTAGCTACCTTAGTTTAAAAAAACAGATTTATTTTCAACACATAAAAAAAAATCATAACAAAATATACCTTAGAAACGGTATAACAGAAAATGTTTGCGGTTTTAAAACCTTGACTTTTTAAACTGCGGTAAACCTTGAAACCAGTTATCATCCCATGCCTATTTGCTCTGCAATAACACTTCACAAAACTTGACTTTTATTTCAAACTGATATTTTGTTTTCAATATCCAAAGTGAACTATCTGCAGCTGCTTTCAATAGTATGGCAATAAACAGCCCCTTTCACACAGTGATACCGTAAATATCCGGAAAATTACCATGACAACTTTACCGGTAAATTCAAAAAAGTGCTGTTCACAGTAAGGTTATTATAGCTAACAAAAAACTAAAACTAAAATCTAAAATAACTGTCGATAACTGAAATAAAAATAAAAACGAGTTTTTTCTTTTTAACTAGAACTGAAACTGTATTGTGCACATACAAGACTAACAGAAACAAACTACATTTTTAGCAAAAACCTCCTTCTTTTTCCTATTTGTAAATGTATTTAATACATAATCTTACTGTAAGCCGTTTAGAAGAAAATTTTTCTCCTCCAGTCAGTCCTCGCTGTTGCTCCCGCGACAAAAACATCGAGTGGACATGACAGCAGCACGGTGACAGCATTGCAGGCACTTAAAACTATTACTTTAAGACAGTTGTGCCCAATAAAGGGTTTTAATTCTGTATCGTTATCATGAACGAATCTTTTTAACCAGATCTTCAAAGTAAACTGGTTGAACTAGTTCACCAAAATGAACTGAAACATTCGAAAAGTTTTGAGTTTCCAGTAAACACTTATCCAAAAACTACTTACTTTTTAACAAGCCTAATAACCCCCTAAATAATCCAATATATACTCTCATTCGGTTATTAGAACAGTAACTTTTTCAGATTACGTGATGTTTTAACTGACTGAAATTATTGCTGAATACATAATTTTGGTATGTTGAGTCCTAAACATCACCGTTAAATATCTGCACTTCCCATCACTACTGTGTATCTAATCTCAGAGCAACCTTGCACACATATTATACTTAAGGCTGCTGTCTTGTGGGCTGTGCATTTCAATTTGAGGATGAGTATGTTATTGGTAGATGATAGTGTTCATGTATTCTCTAAATACAGGTTTAAAAAATTGTATGGCTGAGTTTTTATTATACACTATTTATTCTATTGATTTTGAATCTTGCACCTAAGAAATATCCTTATTTAGAAAAAAACTAAAACTAATACTGAAACTAATACAAATTAAACTAAAAAAAAAATTCATTTCAAAATATAGAAACTAATAAAAACTTGTAAATCTGCCTCTAAAAACTAATTAAAACTAACTGAATTTGAAAACAAAAAGTCAAAACGAAATAGAAACTAAAACTAATGAAAAATCTGAAACTATTATAACCATGGTTCACAGTGACAAGGACGTTTCAGAATTTTTCAGGAAAGACTATTCAAACATCCATTCTAAATCACCGGTAAATTCTGACATCATTAATCAAAAAAAAGAGCTCTAAATGGTTGCGATTGTATTTGTAAACATAAAGGGAGTGACGTGGTTGATGGTTTCATTTTTATTTAAAACTTTAGCATTCATGTAGCTGCTTTTGTTCCAGAGACAAAAAACAATAGCAAAACATAAGTAAATCGCTACCATTTAAAGGCAGAAATGCTAACCGCAGCTAAAAACAGCTTTGTTTACACATTTGACTACATTATGATGATATGAAGAAACACTTTTGCATGTTGAGACGTACATTTGAGTGTGTGCTGCAGTTTGCAAGATACTTTTTAAAATGAAAGTTTAGCAGTCAAGGAGAGGATGCAAAACTGAACTTTGTGTAGGTTACTTAATATTGAGAAAAATCCGTAACCAGATTAGTCAGGGCCCGAAATTAACCCTTTTTTTTTTTTGGTAGCATCGGTGCAAAAATTTTAAAAATGTAGGCGCACCAGACAAAATTTAGTCGCACCCATCAAAAATTATGATTACTACATGTTTTATATAAACAGATTTATTGCATTTGAAATCAAAATAAATCTGCCAGTGTTGTTTTTATTCTCTCTGATCCAGACCTTTACGTCTTCGTGGCTGTAGCTCCTAGTTATTGGAACTGAGTGATTAACAACTGATATTAATCAATCCATTCGCATTCTGTTCTAGCGTAGTGGGCCAATAAGAAGTAGGGCTGGAGGATTTTATCGATTCTGCGATATAAATCGATTTTTTTTTCCAAAGAAAGTATAGATTTTTTAGCCGCGAGTATCGATACATACGTCCCCTTCAAATCCCCCGTGTTGTTTACCCCCGTTCGCGTTGCAGGAAGAGCGATTTGGTCAGCCAGCCACTAGTGTTGCGGTAGAGCAAGTTACCTGTACTAACTTTACACAGACGCAGATGTCTACCTCTTCCTGTTTACCAAAGAAGAGCGTGGATATTCAGAGAATGGCACCTGCCTGCTTAAAAGCAGATGTGTGGGAGCATTTTGGTTTTAAAAAAAGAAGGAAAGCAACAACTTAGATAAAAGCATCATGCTTTGTAAGCTATGTGGCACTAACGTTAAATATTCCGGCAATACCACAAATTTACGAGCGCACTTAAAACATCACCACCCGGACAAGTTAATGCTTACGGAGGACCCAAAGCAGCAGCGGCCGCGTGACCCAAAACAAACTACTCTGGACATCGATGGCGGTTGTTCCCACAAGTTTCCATCTGCCTCACCAAGGTTGCAGAAAATTACAGAATCCATTGCCTACTATATTTGTTCTTAGTGACTTAAAATTATTTGATGTTTTGGAGAAGCCATGGTACTACTATGTTTACTTTCATGGCAGCTAGACTTGCTACCTCATGTTTTTTGTCAAGCTAAAAAGATGTCAAAGGCACTGTTCAGAACAGGCCACTTGCACTTCAACTTTCCATTGTTAATTGCAAAATGCAATGTTGCACTTTATTTACTTTTCAAAGGCTTGTAAGCTACAGTTTGCACTGTTTCAATAAATGGAACAAATTTTCTCATCACATCTTTAATTTTGTCCAGCATTTATTTTGCAAGCTGTCTGATGTTTAAGTTTATTTCAATTGATTAAATCCAATTTAATTAAACACTTCCAAGATGTCACTACAATCACTTTGTCTCTTTTCAATCTATCAGAAAATGATGTAAGCGTATCGAATGATATAGAATCGTATCGAATTATATCGAATCGTATCGAATCGTATCGTTGGCTAAATATCCTGATATATATCTTATCGTGAGCTGAATATCGTGTATAGTATTGTGAGATTAGTGTATCGCTACAGCCCTAATAAGAAGAGCACGAAGGCGGGGCAAGCATTGCTGGCTTTGTTTACTGCAGCAAGTTGACATGTCAACAGTTTTAAACCATTCCTGAGCGCTGCGTTTGGTGTTTTTAGGTGCATAGATGCTCAGCGCATGAATGCCCCCTAATTCCAGGCATTTGGTGAACATTCTGCGGTGAAAACTGGTCGCAAGACATCAATTTTAGGCAGTCGCACAAATGCTCCCAAAATATAAATTAAATAAATTTTTAGCGCCAAAACGGTCGCAATTTCGAGCCCTGGGGTAAATGTCTGCACCCACGCCTCCGTTTTTAGATGTCTCAAATGGCCTCTCCAGCATTTTCAAAAAGCTCCATTTTTGGCGGTCAAAAACCTCCTTGTAGTTCGGATAGATGGCATAACCAAAGCAAAACGTATGCGTTTTAAAACTAAAACACATGAGCGTAAACGGGGTCTAAAGTAATGAGTTCTTTCCAAATAGAGCTATTCAAGCTAACAAGGGAAATGACATTCATATCGTACAATATATCAATGAAGAAAAACAAATAAATACATTTTTTAAAATCACAATTTTTCCAATATCCTGTAGCTCTAAGGTCTATTTTACACTAAATCTTCAGCAAATACACTAGCTAATTATAATTTTTTAATTAATGCCTTGATCCAAAGGCTGAAT